CTGATTTTTATATTTCTTAATAAAAATACAGAAAATGTACATGATTTTCATATTTCTTAATAGAAAAGCAGGAATACATAGAAAATGTAGTTGATTTTAATATTTCTTAATAAAGCTGGAATATGCAGAAAATGTAAATGATTTTCATATATTTAAATAAAAAAGCAGAATTATGCATAAAATATAGGCGATTTTCATATTTCTTAATAGAAAAACCAGGAATAGGCAAAAAATCTAACTCATTTTCATATTAATAAAAATGCAAGAATATGCCGAAAATATAGCTAAAAAAACATATTTCTAAAAAAAATAAACATATATTTTTTATATTTGCTCAAACTGTTATCCTCAACTTTATTGCCATATTCATGATGTTTTGGTCATTGTATGCTCTGGCCTTCTTCAGGTGATTAGAATTTTGAACTGAACCCTTTATTTCATCCACCGGGGTAGATTGTTCTAGTTCTACATGCCATGCCTATTCCGGATATCTCCCTTAACTGAACTCTCCAAGTTTTTGTTCACCACTACCATAGCCAGATAGTGAACTGACTTATAAACTTAATGTCTCAGTAATAATTTTTAACAGAGCTCATATTGCAATTTTGTTGTTATTATTGCTTTTTCAATTTTCTGTTGTCTGAATGTTGTTATCCTCTTGTACCCTTCTATCCCAGTCTATTGGAGCTGCTGCCATGTACGCAAGGTAGTTGTTACATTGTAGGGTACTGCTTATACTGACCATTTCTTGATCATGTCTCTGGGTAGCCACTTTTGCTCAATGTTGTAAGCAGTGGACGATCCCTTTCTTTACACTATATTGGGGTGGGAGTTGAAGTTGAGGCATTGTCCAGTGAATGTTGGCTTGCAGTATACAGATGTTTTGAACTGATGCTCTGTTCGAGATATTAGTACATCCAGGAAGGCAAGTTTGTTGTCATTTTCTCTTCATTGTGAACTGTATCAACGATCTTATTGAATTCATATAGTTCAGTAGTAGCTGGACCTCTTCCTGGTGTGGCCAGCATATGAAGATATCATCTCAGCCATGGAGCTGGCTTTAGTGATGTCCAAATAATGTAAATAATTACAATACCTCATCTCAGGAATTTAGCTCATTTTATATTTTTTAATAAAAAAATATTAATATGAGCAAATATTACTGATTTCCATATTTTTAAATAAAATGTAGTTGATGTTCATATTTCTAAATAAAAAAAAGAAAGAATATCTAAAAAATGTAGATTATTTTTTTATTTCTTAAGAAAAATCAGAAAATGTATCTGATTTTCCTATTAATAGATAAGCAGGAATATGTAGGAAATGTAGCCAAATTTCTTATTTCTTAATTAAAAGAGCAGGAATAAGCACAAAATGTAGCTGATTTTCATATTTCTTAATAAAAAGCAGGAATATGTGAAAAATGTAAGATTTTCATATTTATAAATAAAAATGCAAGAATATGCAGAATATATAGCTTACATCAATATTTTCAAGCGCAAAATGTTACAGAATTAAAAGATTGTAGAATTGTGGCCTTGTAAAAATCTTCAACTCCACAAATAAAAAAGGAAAGAAGAAGATATATATTGTAAATCAGAAATCTTTATATTCCTGAAATAATAGAGGAAATTTACAAAAATTGTCCTTTTTTTTCAGTCCAGTTTCTTATGAAGACAAGTTTTTGTATGGTAGGAAATAGACTAGACACAAAAAGATTTCTTGCTGATTCTTCTTACTACTTCAATGAGAACTATTATATTTGACTGTTACTCAAGCTATCACACATACTGCTTACTTGATGTTGTCCTTTATTAATACTTGGCATGCAGACATGGTAGTAGATACAAAATGTGTACAAATATTTAACAGAAAAACACTTCTCTCTCCACGATTGTTTTACTTGAAGAGTATAACATTTCTAATAACTTAATAAATATACATGCTTAAAAGTAGAATCTTTGTAGATTAATAATTTAATATATGTTTTACATGGTGTATAATTCTTATCTTTTTTCATAAATTATAAGTTAATTAAATTTTATTCTAATTTGGTATGCACTCAGTAAGGATGTCTTAATAATAATAATATTCAATAAAAAGGGATTTTCATTTTATCTGAAACAGATTAATAGAATATGTTCCAATAATGTGTTCACTATAATTTGACTCTATTTAATTTGTTCATTTTACCAAATCTTAATTTATATAGATTTTTCTAGTTTTTCATTATAAACACTACAAAAGAAAAAGTGCATAAATTGAAGACTCTTTCTATCTCTCACAATTTTTTTTATAACCAAGCAGTGAGTGGTTTGTTCAAAACAATTTATGAAAGGAAAATTGACTTGATCCTGAAAATCAAAGCCATTTGAAGAAGGATGATGTTCTTTCTCTAATCATCTACTTTATGTGATATAAAAAACGAAAATTTCTAAAAAAAATACATTTTTATGACTTGAAAGAAAATATTCTCTAAAATCCAACTGTATGTTTAGTTTTATAAACGGTAAAAATATAATTTAGGCAAAAGTTCAACCCTGCAAATAAAAATTTCCTCTCTTCTCAATTTACTACAATTTGTCTTGGCTTCTTCCCATGTTTTAACTTAAAATTTTAAACACCTTAATTAACCTCACCATTTTAACAAACCTTTTGATTGCACCTGTTGGACTTCTCTAGAATGTCTCATGAGTTAATGAAGAGTGAGAGGATATCTTACGAAAATGTTGTTTCCCACCATATCTCTATATGGTTCTTGTGTAAGGATTGAAAGAAAATGCACAGAGAATAAATATAAACAAAATATTTTTTTATATGACACAATATATATACAGAAGGATAGAGTGATAAGTTAGAAGTTCAAGAGTCAAATGTAAATGTCCTGGTGCATAGGAGAGAGAGTGCAGAGGAATGAATATACATACTAGTAGGGGTTAGCTAACACCCTACTGTATTTATATTAACACAAATGTAACAAAATAAATAACGACAAAAGAATAACACAGAAAATATGTATTAATAATGAATAGATTATGTTTATATACAATAACAAGTACAATATTTGTTGAGTGTAGTATTTAATTTTTTTTAAATGTTTTTCTGTTTGATGATTTGAATATCAATAATATTTTGGATCAAAAGGTTGTATGTTGTTATAATGTATGCTCAAATATAAGAAAGTATAATTCAGTATTTAGGTATTTATGGTGAATTTAAAATAGTTTATGTTTGCAAATAATTTGTATAAATTTCAAAAGACTTACTGAGAGTTTGAAAGGGCTATCTTTTTTTGATCAGCTATTTTATATTGAGTTTGGTTGCATATTCAAGTTGTAAGTTTGTTTGAAATAATATATATTGCAGACTGAGTATTATGTTAAAAATAGGTTTTTAACATGAAGTCTGAATATTGGAATAATGATACGTGTGTACTGGTGTTGGGTAGAAAATTTCCCTCCTCACTGAAAAGGAATGATTTAAGTGTCACTTAAATAAGAAAAGTTTGTCACATGATAGGCTCACAATGACTTGGTGAGACTATTTTTTTATTCAATTCGGACATAGTTGAAAACACGTCATCTCTTATTTTTCACATTTAATAACCAATCAGAACATGTCATTCCATATTTCTGCTTTGAGCCTATTTTAATAGGTTTTGAAAAGAATGTAGGATTTTAAATCCTACATACTTATATGTATGTATTCAAATGTATTCACCTGTGTAAGTGGTAAAAGTTAGTATGTATATGCATGTGTCTATGCAAGACTGTGTGGATATTATAGTTGCCTGTGTAAATGGTAGAATGAAGTAGGTATATATGTTTATGTGATACTGTGTCGGTCGCATATAAGTGTTGTATTTCGGCTGTGGACATATTACAATGACTGCAGCATTGGAGAAGTGATAAAATTAATTCGTCAATTCTGATTTGATTTGACTTCTCATCTCATCTCATTATGTACACAAGCCAGCAAGACAAAGTTTAAAAATTGCTACTTGGTTTCTGATTAGTCCACAAATTATGAACTCAGATCTTGGTTGAGAATAGATCTTGTCTGATTGGGTCACTAATTTATATCTTTATATTAATTCAATGTCATATCTTTATTTAATTGAGATCACTTCTGGAAATATGGCCTCATATCTTAGTGTTTCTGAATGGTCATCTGTTTTTAGAGATGGTGAAATTTTGGTCTTGTTATTATTTATTTTTTCACTACAAACTTTTCAACCATTCCAAGAATCCTCATCATTTATTTGAAGATTTTAAAACATCAAGAATGTTAACACTCTAAAAAAAGTGATTCTTGACTTACATGTAAGTTTGTATGTTTTCTCTCCTAGAAATATTTTGCTGTGTACTTTAAACACTTTAAATCTTTTCTTGGCACACAAAATATTTTATGCAATGTTTCTATATTGTAAATTTGTAACTGAATGTATTTTTGTTTGTAAATAAAAGATTTTGTTTTCTGACTGAATTCAATCCAAGTTTTGTGTTCACATATTTTTTTAATTGTTGGGAAAATTCCAGTATAGTAGAAGAAGGTCAAAAATCTTTTATTCAGTAAAGAGTTATCTCATCAGTAGAAAATATGAAGATTCTAATTAAATGAAATTTAAATTTTTTCTTGTAGCAAGAGTAGTTCACAATAAGTTTTTAAACAAACAGAAAAATGACTGCTTATTTTTTGTGTCAACGCGCACAAAATAAGCTAAGCATTTTTAACTTAGTTCAGGGTTAATGCAAATTTAAATCACAAAATTTGAACAGAAATACTTATATATCTTTTTTGCATTTAACTTCTTAATCAGATTTCGTTTCTGACAATCATTTCATACCAAGTTTAGCTGAGTCTGGCCCAAGGTTATAGTAGTAGAGGCACACATTGAAGACTGAACACACTTGAATCGTCAATTGTGCGGAAAGCGCATGCAACCAATGTGAGAAGACCGGCTCCGAAACCGGAAGTCGTAGTCACATGTTCATTCAGAAATGGCCTTATCTACAACTGCTACAGCTAAATGTAGAATCGTAATGGCTTACAGATCTCGTTTAGAAAGGTAAAAAAAACGTTGATTGTTGTCATAATTATAGTTTGCAAAATGCAGGTTATGTTGGGTTATATGAATGTTATGATTTTTTTCAAAAGTGTTTGCTTCGGTATGTAGATTTGTTCACATTCGACGAATAATTATTTCCCTTCGAATTTGCAAGGATTATTATACTATTTTTTTTACTTTAAATTTTGTAGCGTTAGTTAAAGAAAAAGCTGTACTTAAATTGATCATTTTGCAATGTGCATGTTTTTGTTTCTCTTCTTGTGCAACACTTTTTTGTTTGACTCTCTTAAAGATCTAGTAAAAAGCCGATGTTTAAAAAAATATACATTGCTATCTACAACTGTTTTTTCTTATAGAAGCGCTATCGGCTATGTAAATAAATAAAAAGAGTAATAAAGAAACACCTTGTCATTTAACCAAAATTAGTGTTAGTACTGATATACTGCTTGCCTAAATTAATCCGAGTTACTAAGCAAAAACTTGGATACTTCGACGTGGTGTAATGACTGTAAGTTAGCGAGCTTGTCTCGTTTCAGTTACGACTGAGTCATGAGTTTGATCTTCAGTGGGTGCTTCATACTTTCGCCCTTGTGCCACATCTCGACTACGCTTAGTAAATCTCTATTATTAAGCACAGATATGAGAAACACATGCTTGTTGTAGAAAATATGCTTTTTATTTTATGATTTTGAAGTTTAATTCAAATCAGCTTCCCACTAAAAAAAAGAGCATATTTTGCGTTACAAAAATAGTTTTTTAAATTTAGAAACTATTTATTTTGTAAAGCAAAGGTTACTAGAAGAAAACTTGATCTTGAAAATCATGCATAATAAAAGGTACATAGCTAATTAATTAACCTAACACAGATTTTTTTAATTTAAGCTTCCTTTTTTTTTTTTTTTTTTTTTTCTTTTTTTTTTTTTTTTAAATTTCAAATTATGGTCCTCTCACTACGTTTACGCTCGGCTTAGGTGTCGTGTACACATTTTCATTTGTCACCTTAGCCTCCGTTTTCAACAATTTTACCGAAAATCTTTCATTTGTTAGGAATTTTACTTTGTCAATATCCAAATATTAAAATTTGATTTTCTTTTTGAAAGTACATAATTACATTAGGTCTACTAAAATGCCATTCTTTTTTTTTAAGTGCTCTAGAATCTGTGTGAAAACGAAAATGTATTTTTAAAAATTTTTCAGTTGTTGTTCGTCTCTTATTTAATTTCTAAAATCTGCGCTGTTCTTTCTTTTATGTGCCATGTCCTTTCAGGACGTAGGCGATCATGGCTCTCCACCTTCCTCTATCCCTTGCAGCTCTGAACAAGTTCCTTCCCTCTGCTACCTTCCCCAGACCACGTTCTTAACCACTTGCTTAAGGCCACCAGGTATATCATGCGTTGTTTTTCCTTGTCTCTCTTTCCCTGTAAACCTGTGGGTATTAGATTCTCCAGGCCCTCCTTCCTCATTATGTGTCCTAGAAACTTCAGCTTGTTGCGGACCCGTTAGCGTGCAGTGCTGGTTTATTAAAAGGTGGCCTTGTGCCAGACACTACACAAAACTACCGAATCCACAAGCAAAGTAAAAATATTGCGTGAGTGAACTTAGTGAGGAAAAGGGGTCAATCAACAAGTGCATAAATAATACAAGTAGATAGCCGGAATTAAACAACAAAAGGCGTCTGGTTGAAAAACGTAAATGAAATTTTTTATATTTTAATTTAAACAAGTAAGTTGTCTCGTCATTTGAGACCATCAGTGAAGTTACTGGATCTTAGAAATTAATGAAAAAATGTTGTGACAAGTAGTCACTGAAGGAATGTCTGTGTTCCATGCCAAAATAGAAAACCAAGATGGCCAAGGCGGGAATAGTTCCATCAGAAAGAAAGTTCTGGAAAAATGACTTGTTAAACGAAAGGTGTATGTGTACACAAATAGGAAAAGTACTCACTGTGAAGTTTGATAGTGTGAGTGTATGTAATATTTTTTTAGGTACTGATTCAAAGTAGTTAGAAGGTTCAAAGGTGTATGGACAGATTATCAACTTTCATTGAGGAGAATTCAGAGTTGTTTGCATCAAGACGAGGTTGAGTCTTGGAATGGTGTGAGAGCGACCGTGTAGAACTCTGGTAGTGAATAGAGGAAAGTTCGAAAGTTGTTCACAAAAGACAAGAAGTTGGTCTTGGAAAAATATATTGACGACGGTGTCGTAGGAACTCGACATTTTCTAGTTGAAAACGGAGAAATGGTTCAACAAGCTGTTGCATCAAGACGGGGATAAGTCTTTGAAAAATATATATTGATGACGGCGTCGTAGGAACTCGACATTTTCTAGTTGAAAATGGAGAAAAGGTTCAACATGCGGGTTACATCAAGACAAGGATGGGTCTTGGAAAAATGTAATATCGACATGTTGAAGTTTTAGTTAGTTAAGAATAAGATATTCCGGCCTGCGTATGGGTTAGGGGCACGGAATAAATGAGTTGTCTGTCTAGCTTGAAGATCAGGAAGCAACTGAGTTGGAAACACTGGACGTCTGTGATGTCAGGAAAACGCGCGGGAAAAAATTCAAATTCTGATTTTAGATGTTATCAGGGGTAGCTAGTAAGCAACCTTCCTCACTCCAGCAATTACTGCTATGTCTAGCTGAAAGTGAGAGGAAGGGGTGCAATCCGCGCGTGCACAAGTGTGGAAGGAAGGGAGGAAAACTTGCGCGCGTGTAAAATGTAGGTGGAATTACTGTGTTATTCCACAAGCTGCTTCTTCCTGATGTTAAGTATAAGCCTCCTCCTTGTTTGCATCCTCTCTAAGACCTCACCGTTACTCACACGCTCAGTCCATGATATCCTTAGCATCCTTCTGTAGAACCACATCTTCGTCACCTCAAGTCTCTTCTTCATCTTTGAGGAAATCATCCAACATTCGCTGCTGTAAAGAAGGACAGATGTCACGTAACAGCTCAGTATTCTTTTCTTTGTTACCAAAGAAATCCTCCTGTATCGCAATACTCTGCCCAGCTTTTGGAATGCATCCTTGGCCATCCCAATACATCTATGGATCTCAATGTCGCACTTAGTGTCCTCTGTCAAAACTTTTTTTTTCTTTACTCTCTTTTCTTAATCTTCTTGTTTCTTTTCCCTTTTCTTTTGTTTTTATTTGATAGCTGCTACTTAATTTTTAGTTTTCCAAATTCTTTTTTTTCTAATTGAAGCGATTTTTAAGGTCCTCCTTTGCATTTTTATTTTAGTAAGGTTCAATGGACTTTTACAAGTCCATTGAACAAGTTAAAACCTAATTACAAAAACAATTTTTTTTCTTTATTCCCCCCACCATTTTGGTACGTATTCCAGTTGAAATGTCGGCGACTAAACCATATACCCCACTCCAAGTTCTGAGTGCGGCAGCTCGTTAGCAAGCCAGTAGGACAAAAAACAAGACCTAACAAAGGAAAGAGGAACTCTCTGAGTCAGCAGCCAGCTAACTAGAGGTGGTGTCTCCATAAACCATCATGGAGAAGACAACGGGTAAACAACTCCACTACCAATCCCAAGACAAATCATGGTCAACAACTGCACTGTTAGATTTGTTTTTAAATATTGAAAAAAGAATTTTTATATAGTAGATAATTGCCATAAAAAACGTTTGGATTTTATTTACTTAACTTCTATCATTGTGTGTAGTATGTGTGTGCACACAGAAATATTTTTATGTATTTATTTGTTTTTTAGGTAAGTAAAATTGCTCATTTGGAAATCTTGCAATGAAAAATAATTCCTGTCACTTGAAATATAATTTTATTTTTTTAGTGATCAGTTGCAAATTCATACACGGTTAGTTTCCTTCACTTTTTATACAATACTATCTATCAAGCAAGTTCTTAAATCTTTGAGTATATGTCATAGAATTAATTCCTTGCAATTCAATACTTCAGGATAGATGTTACCGTTTTATCTCACCAAATACAGAGCATTAGCTTCACATGGTGTAATTCTGGTTTTGGCATGTATTCAGGCTTTTCCATGGACTGTAGCTATTTTCTCTCAATGATTAAAGAACCCACTTTTCATTACTGAAGATGATCATCATTTCCAGAAACGGTTTTAGCAAGTCTCATACTTAATAACAAGTAGATGTTGATTTACAGATTCAAAACTGGTCAGATCATATGGAACCTATTAGCCAAGTTTTGACACTACCTAATTCATGAAGGTGAGTTATGATTGTTGTATTGAACTATTCTGCTACTAGCTAATGGTTTCCTTCAATTGCAGTCAAAATTTGATTGTCAGTTGAAGTCATTTTTCCAAAACAAGACATTTCCTTATACCTAAGTCTTTATTTACATAGTGAAAATATTGCTCACCACTTTTGAAACTGATATGCCCTTTTCTAACTAGTGAAGTTTGCAGCATCTAAAACGGGTTTCCTTTGCACTTATTTTTATGAGTCATATCAATTTCCAAGTTATTCAATTTGACATTAAACATTCCTAAAAGAAAAGAGGAATAATCAGAACACTGTGACATGCATAACTGTGTCTATATAATCAAACAACGTTAATGCTTAATAAATAGCAAACTAAGAAAAATCCTTTCCAGTATAGCTTTGCAAAGATTTTACAAAGATATTTTGAGATTGAAATTTGATAATTCTATGTAATCAGTATATTATTTCACAAACAGCATTAGAGATAAATACAGTGTATAAAAAAACAGTTTATATGGAATACAAGTTATACACATTTCAATTTTCTTTTGCAAATTAAATTTAACAGATTATTTGCTAAAAGATATGACCTGAGTTCTTGTTAATTCATTTATTTGGTAAGTTTTGCTTTGTCTAGTATAGCTTTTGATAATTATTTCACTCTTTGCTATCTTCCAAATCATTTGAAAGTCAGTGTGTTTATGGAAAGAGCATTTTTGGGACTTTCCCAAACTAAAAAATTTGACATTAGAAAACGAATTCCTTCGTTTACATAAAAAGAAAGGAAAGAACTCTAGTTAAGAAAAATGGTATAGAATATAATAATCATTTTTAGATGTTTGTCAAATGAACCTGCCTGCTAAGTTTCAAGTTCTATTCTTGAGGTATTAAGTAAATATTGTTTTTTTTTAGGTTATTGCTGTTCAAAGCAACAAATTATTGCAGCCTATTAAAGCAAAGATGTAGCTTGACAAGCTCAACACATTTATTAACAACTGAAAAGCAAATACCAAGTAAGTAGTTATACTTTTTGCCTGTAGTGCAGCAATAAATTTTATGTCATATAAATGTCGTATAAATGCAAACTATTTCTGTAGGTAAAGCTTTTCCATTAAAATTTTATTTATAGCAAAACGCATCTCTTGTGTTGAAGGAAAAAAGCATAATGTCATAAAAATTATCCCTTCTTTTAAGTTTCTAATAGATTTATTTTAATTTTCGGACTGCTCTCATGAGAAAGTATTTTAAATGTGTATACCTTTTAGCCAAGCAAAAATAGTATATGGAGATTAGGTAACTAATCAGGCTGAATTTCCTGTTTGTAATTGCTCATTGATTTCAGTTGACAAAACTAATTTCTTTCCAATAAAACAAAAATATGAATTATTCTGTTTAAGCTGTTCATTTTAGAATTTTGATGTTTGGAGATTTTATAATTTTGTTTGTACAAGAATCTATTCTTTGACTTGCACTTGTTACAAGTGAAGAATTATTAGACTGATAAAATCAAGGAATTGTTTGATTAGTTACTCTATTTCAAAAATTAGCTAGATTAAAAAAAATCTTTACCATGTTTATAAATGACACTTGTAATTGTGTAGATTGTGAATTATTAAATAACTTTGTAGTATTTTGATTGCTAAGAATTTGATTTTTGGAGAAGTAAAAATTTCCCAAAGAATATTTAAAAAATAAAGATGGTCATTTCTTATGACACATTTTACAGAAAAAACAAAAATTTGTATTCAATTCAGTTTCAAAGTAAGTTTCAGTTCAAAGAATGTTTTTCTTTTTTTCCTACAGAAAAAATTGAAGAAATTATTATTCCAAAAAGAATAAAAAGGTTTGTCTCATTTTTAATTGAAGAAGTCATTCTTTATTTAAATGGTTTATATAAATATTTATTTCAATGAGTATGAAATCAATGTTATTGGTTAAAAATTAAGGAGCATTATATTGAAATTTCTATGTTGTACTAAAAGTTTATATTTTTTAATGTTTTCAAAGATTGTTTACAGAATTGAGATTTACAAGAAGTGTGTTTTACTGTCTTCTACATTTCTAAAACCATTGCATTTTCACAACTTAAAAATTTAAAGTAAACTATAGATTAAATGTATGCTGATTACAAGTATTTAAATTTTGATCTTGGAAATGTATATGAGTGAGATTCTGAAAGCAATGCTTTCTATTTATTTATTTCTACAGAAGCTACGAGTTTGTCATAACATATCTGTACAGATAATATTTTACTTTCCCCTTGTACAATAAAAAGGGGGAACATAGCACTATTGCATAGAGTATGTCTTCAGCTACACAACAATATTTTTACTGTCACCACCACTGATTATGCATTTTGAGACTAGAAAATGCATCTATTAGAGCAACTAGTTTTCTGCATGCACAAGACACACACATATATATATATATATATATATATATATATATATATATAAAAAAAAAGCAGAGTAGAGGTTTATCCCTTATTTCCTTTTTAAGATTAGGTTTCCTGTTCCTTCTAACGTCTTCTGATTCTCTTTCATTCCCAGTAACCCCTTGCATCTTAGTGACATTATCACCTTGCTTGGGATGAATTGATTAATACACACACACACACATATATATATGACACACACATTTTTTATTTCAGAGGACCAACTGATATCCTGAAAGCTTTGTCATCAACTGTCGAAAAGGTTTGTTTTTTGTTTTTTATAAATTATTCGTTTTAGTGTTGTATTTGAAAGAAGAAAAACTAAATTAGTTAAAACTTAGAAATAAAAGTTAATCATGAGGATATTTAGTTTAATCTGTTAATAGAAACTGTGAAGGACTAGTTAGATTTTAAGAAATGCCTTTGCTTATTTGATAAATTAATTATTTTAATGAATCATTCTGAATTATTTGCCAACAAAAATTCTAAAATTTGATTATTTTTAATCAACATTTTATTGGTATAACTTTTCAGCATAGAACAGTCATCTGCCTTCAAGAAATTCTAATAAAAAACCTACAACCCATTGCCCTTGTTACCATAGTTACATTTTGATGGGTTTTGGAAAATAAACCTTTGGTTTAAAGGTTGAAGGGCAAGAATCTACACCACACTAGCCTACAACAGTGGGAGTGGGGCATAAATGACAGGTGGAAGATGATACTGGAAGCCACAGCCCCAGTTTTGGATGCATGCTCACTTGATGTTGAAACTAGTGACAAGTCTTTTGGCAAGTAGTCCTATCTGGATACAGTATTAATTGACATGAAAAGAGGCCTAACAAAAAATTTGTCCATCCAACTTGGACTACACTAATCAATGGGCATCTTCAAATAATACTAAAAATATTGAAAAGCAAAGTTATTTGCTGGAATGTAGGAACCAGTAAACCCTAAGAGAGAAACTGAAATTCAACATTATTGCCATCAATGAGGTTTGCTTTTCAGATTAAAAGAGAAATACAATTTTCGCATTGAAATACACAATCTTAGTAAATCTTGGCTGCTAAAGTTATTGTATTTGGTAACTTTAAGGCCAGAGTAGGCTGGACTTCTGACATTTGAGAAGTCATTCCAGATGAAGGAAAATGAGATGACAGTAAACATCTGAAAAGAACAGTAGTAGAGCAAACTTTCAAAAAGATTTGCAATTCCAATTAGAAGACATCAGTTATCTGAGAGACTTTTCTCTTGAAATTCTATGAGGTCTAAAAACCTGACCTGCCTTTATAATAAAAAATAAAATATTGATTCATCATTGAACCAAACATTTATTTTTATGTTAAAGCCATGTTTTTACAGGTTCTCAGTGTTTCTTGTCATAGTGAATGGAAACCAAGATTTTTTGATTTTTTTTTTTTTTTTTTAATGAAAAAAAAAAAAAAAATTCAGGGACATATACATGCATCCTGTCTATATAAGAAAGTTGTTTATTGCCAAGTATGCAACACCTTCCAACACAACCTCCATATTATTCAATATGAATGGTGGATTAATTTTGCCTGATGAACTCAACTTTGTGCTGATGTTGATGACTGCAGAAATGTTTGTCAAACATAAAATGTAGTATATTGCTCCATCTACCAGGTTCAGATCTTGTGTACAGACAAGATGGAATTGATATTAACAATGATTGAATTCTGTGTTGCTGGTTGGTGTACTCTCTCTATTTTATTTGGTAACAATTACATGTTCTAGATATAACAACCAGTAAAGAAAACATCAGGCACTCAAATTCTGTTTTGAATATGCTGTAAAGTGTTGTCACTATCTTGGAAATAATAAATCAATTTACACTTGTGTTCAAAAAGTTGGTGTTTATAAAGACAAACAATACAGGACCCTAATGACTATACACAGTCACTTCATCAAGCTGGTGATATATTTCACTGTTGAAACTGAATTCTACATATTTGGTAACAAACTCCATTACTTCAATAAATACCTCATTGGCAGGTGATGAAGAATACATTAATATAAAACATTAGTGCAATTTCATATTGTAGGACATTGATAAAATGGTTTTTAATGGAGGAGCTCATAAAGCAATTATGAAGAACAATGTAATCACAATTCTGAATAAATTCCTCAAAATAGAATTGGTCTGTTATGCAACATCCAGAATACATCTTCAGGAATTGTTCTAAAATTTCACACAATCATTATTTACATTTGGACTATTGTCCTCATCTTTCTTGTTATTATCACAACATTTTGGCAATTGTGTCTTCTGACTTTCTTTAGGTCAATCCAGGTAAACCTCAGGGAATTTTGAACAGAAAACTTTAATTTACAGTGGGTAGATTGTTCTACCTTCAATGTCAAGGGATATCTCATCTTGTTCTTAGTTAGTATTGCTCGTACTGTTTTCACTGAGTCTATGTCTACACTATCCAGTTCAAGGTTTGAACTCACAATTACTGTGTTACCAAATTCAAGAAGAGAGTGAGTAATCAGAAAGGTTTAAAAGTAGGCCTTCCTGCAAACATTAGAAATGGCATCATAAAGTTTGTAAACACGAAAAGACGTTATGGAATCTCGGTTTCTTGACCAATCTCAGACGAGTAATAGCTTAACCAGATTATATCAAAGAAAAAGGAATCACCAAATTTTAGACCATTGGCATTGTTGCATCTTCCTGATTTTGTTAATCTCATCTAAGGGAAATACACATTCAATTGTAGGTTTATCTTTAACTTGAGATCAAGAAATGAATGCTGATATGTATTTTGGAATAATATTACTGAAAAAAAATCTCTTAATGTCAGCTAACATTTATTAGACACAACCTTGAGTGTGTTTGTGTATAAGGACAAGTGTTTTGTAATTGTTAGCTAGCTCACTTTCCTGACCATGTTGGAAGCCATATAAAGACTAGGCAACCATTCTTATGCCAACAGAAAGAATACTTAATGTCACTAAACCTCATGACTGTTCCATCCATTTTTAGTTGATCGGGAGATTTCCCATCTTTTTTATTTTATCTACTTTTGTTGTCCTGCTCCCTTCCAATTTTATTTTCTTAGTTTTTGTTACACTTTTTCTTTTAAAGATTGTCAATAGAAAAAAAAGCTTTTAAGGGATAGGAATAAATAGAGAATCCACTGTGGCCATTTTAAGATCATTAAATAACCAATATTTTAAACTAATTTATTATTATAACTGAAACTTGTTGTAATGTCACACTGTTGATTTTATTAATCAGTCAATGTGTCAATTGTTTAAGGTGACATTTAAAATTCAGGTATGTTCTGTATTCTCTGTAATTACTGATATTTTAATTTACACATTTTAGGATTATACGGCACCTCGTTATTGGTTTATAGATGACCCATATTTAATACCTACCAGTTCACAACAAAAGGTAAGAACTTTATATTATTTCTTTTTTAACAAAAACATTCACAACTTATTCCAGAGTACTATAGCTTCCAAATGCTATTATTTTGTACTACAAGCATAAAATAGTTGCATTTTTATATTTTTATTTTTACCTATTTTAAAAAAATATTCATTTAGAAATTTGATGGTTGAAATATATGTATTTTTGCAAAAGATTGGACCATTTTCTTTTTCTTGTGAGGAAAGTCATTCTGCCTTAAAACTTCTTGTTTGTTGATTTTAGTCAAGGAATGATTGTTGGGAGATGGAGTGCTCTATCTCTGAGGTAGCAACTGCTCTACGTTAAGCAATGTATAAGTATACTAAAAATATCTAAATTTCTGACAGACATCAGTGACACATGTGAAAAGTGAGTACCAACACATGATGCAAGAATTGGGTTGTCAACAACTAGAAAGGATGATCATCTTACAATGAAGGGTAACAATGCATCAAATATTATCCTAATTCAAAGCTGGTGCTGCACAATCATTCAGACAATGCACTGTACAGCACACTGTATTCTATAAGGTTTTGTAGTTATCAATTTTTTCCTGATCTTTCCAACTCTTTCAGACAGCCAGTAGAATTCATGTATGGAGGTGATTGCATGATTTAGCCAGTCATCAGGGTGTTATGCAAGATACTGACTACTTTGTAATGGTGGAGGGTATGTTCTATTTTAAATAGACCACTAGTGAAACTGGAGCCAGTACTTATTGATATGACAGACACAGATTTTGTTGCAAATCATTTATACTAACCAGGCTTCCTGGTGGTGATGGCTTCTTCCAACTATATAACTTATCATTAAAAATAGGTGAGATAAAACTGGTTTCACAGACACTTGGCTGACTTTCAGATACTCCACTGATCCCTGTATATGAAGTACATGTTGCCAACCTCATTAAAGTTTCTGTATCCACATTCAACAAACATCATTCTGTTATAATCAGTCTTGGCATGTGCTTGGAGATATCTCTCTCTTTCTCTCTCTCTCTCTCTCTCTCTCTATATATATATATATATATATATATATATATATATAAAAATTCAGTGAGTTCAATACCTTATAAACACCATGTTGCATTGTATATATTTCATTATTCAGGCAAAGGATAGAACTACATTATCAGGTAGCTATCTCTAAATTTTTTACCTTTTTCAACAGCATATACAAAAAAAATGAGTATGATATAAATTATCAATGTTTCACAATAAATGTGATAAAATATAAAATAAATTTTGTGAACTGAAAATTCATCTGTATGAAGATGTCTTTATTGAATAATGCAAATACTGTATACTGTTTTTTTTGTTTTTTTTCTATATAGCGAGCATGTGTTTTGGCAGAAGCATCTGGAAAGAAGACTGCTCGATACATGATGCAAAAATTTCCACAGAACTTTGTCCATAATCCAGCTATACCCAATGTTCCTGTGAGTTAATTAAAGATTTTTAAAATTATTAATAACTATCAGGCTTCACCCATTCACTTTGCAAAGTAAGATATATTCACTACTTGAAATCTTTGAAACAAAAATTTTAAATGAACATTTCATTCATAAATTGGTTGTAAACATGAAAGAAAACATTTGTATTTATTCAGATAGCTAAACATTAGAATATTAGCCATTTTTAAACAAATGAAACTGAATAACATACAGTCTCTCCTTTCCCTTGACTAGTTATAATAAGAGCTTCCAATAAGTGAGGTAACATTTTCTTCACAATAAGTCATGTACTATTACATAACTTTGGAGGATCAAGATTTCTTAGTAGCATTAATGGTACTCCTTGTTTTAATACCAACTTGTGTGATGGTATTCCTGGAAGATCTAAAGAATTCAAAAATTCACTGGATCCACAGTTGTATCATTGGATAGGTATGTCCTTTTTTCCATTTGATGATCTCTACTATTTCATTTGTGAAAACCAAATTTGCTTTCTCACTCAACCAATCTGTATTCTGGAAGTTATCTGCTATATTGGGGTATATTTTAAAAATTAATTCCTCATTGCTCTCGATCAGAGTGCTGAAACCTTCAGGAAAGCTGATTTGTCCATCTTGTTCATGTGAAATTTCTTCATTTCCAAGTTTTAAAAGAAGGTCACTAAATTCTTTTACTGTCCCATCACCATTGAGTTCCACTTTCATATTAGTGGTCAAAAATCATCTTTCAATATGATCCCACAAATAAGAACTTTTCAGACAGGCATGAAGTTCATCTGCAGCTGTTCCTTGTTTGGGAGTGTTTGTCTGAGATCTCCAGATAGCAGAATTGTTACTCTTCCCATGTGTCTATCATATATCTGATATCTTTCAGTATTCTGTCTAAAGCCTCAAATGTACCCTTGTGAGCCATAGTGCACTCATCTCAGGCTATGAAACAAGTCACCTGAAGTAGCTTGGCTAGGTTTGTGCCTCTATGTTGTACACTGGATTGTCATTATAGACCAAAGTTTAATGACAGTTTAATGTCGAGTGAGCAGTTCTTCCACCAGTAAGCAAAGTAGCTGCTATTCTAGATGATGATACAGCTAAATCTACTGTTCTTTGCACCCTAACTGAAGATAAAAGATTAGTTAGGAATGTTTTGCCAGTACCTCCAGGAGCATCCAAAAAGAAACTTCCTCCAGCAGAATTGTTGATCTTTAACATAATCTCATTGTAAATGGCTTTCTGGTCATTTGTAAGAAGAAGTGTATTAGTCTGTATTTGATGGATCAGCTCTTCATGTTTATATCCAGTCTCTCTCATGATTTCTCTCTTTAAGGGATCAGAATCTGTTTGGTTTGGGAAGTCTGAAATGGGACAGTTCATTTTGCTATTTCACACAGTGCAATGTTCACAATCCTGGTTTTCATTTGTATAGCTAGTCCTGGATGAACCAGTTGCATATGATGAAGAATGTCTTCACTCATAGCTTCTTGGTGTTTCATCCACAGATCCATTGGATTTGAAATTTGACAGGTAACAATCATAACAGCAAAGAAATCCCTTATTTGCTTTGGTGATTGATATGAAACTGCCTCTTGTAAAGTTTGGTTCCAATGCTCATAACTTTCTGTAAGGCCAAGTTGAATGCAGGCCTATCTGTATGTCTTAAGAATATTTCTATCAGTTGTTTTCAAATTTTGAAATAATCTTGGACCCCTGACATTATGAAGAAGTCAAAGAAAGAAGCATTCAGAATTTTTTGGATGTACTGACCAAGTACATCACTACATTTAATAACAGGTTCAGTTGAATGAGGTTTTTCTTGCTTTCTTCTGTGGAATTTTCCAGATTTGAATGTGTAATATTTAAACACTTCAGGATAGAGAATTATTTTGACAAAGTCATCTACATTGCATAGATTAAAGAATGCCATTAGGGTAGTGTTTTTTTGAGTTTCAATCAATTCTTGAGCATTGTCTTCAGTAAAATACTGTCCACTGTCCATTTTCAAGATAAACACTCAAGTGCTTAATTGATGGATGTCTGTTGTTAATGTTAAATGAAAAAATTTTTCAGTCAGCCTCATTGCTAGAAATGTATCTTCATTGTGGTTGTTAGTGGCAATCACAGCTTGGTCAATCCCCTTATTTATGTACTTGCACACATACTTTATGGACTTAAAACTGTTACAAAATTCCACTTTAATATGAGCATTGAAAGCTTTGCACAGAAATGGACTATAGCGAACAACCAATTTGTTGTATACCAGTATATTTTGTCCATTTCTTTCAAGGTTGAAGTTAATACTCCATTCTCAATCTTTCTTTTTTGATTAGTTAGCGATGGATTTGGAACATGCTACTTCTCAATGACATAATCTTCAGATGAGGCGAGGCAGATTTGCCAGACTGTCATCAGTGTGACCTTTGCTTAGAGGAAATGGCTCCGCACGCCTTTTACCATTGTCTTCAGGTGCACCCCTTCTGGGATTATGTCGGTGAGTTGATGGCTCGTATCACTCCTGATCAACTCATGTCTATTGATCTCACGTGTGTGACATTGTGTGTCCTCCCCATTCCCTAGGGTAAAACAGATGGTGTTTTTACGTTGATAGCCATGGCAAGAATGGTGGTCTGGACATCATGAAAGGAGGGAATCTTGCAGGACAAACATTATTCACATCAGGATCTGGTTGTTTCCTTTAAGCATCAGCTTAGGGTAAAAATCAGATCTGATAGAAAGTGTTTGATTTCAGCAGACTTTAATGAAAGGTGAGTGACTGAGGCGAGCCTGGTTCATGTCGATGGGGCTAGCCTTGATTTTCTCTTTTTAAGTCCCCTTCATGCAACACAGGGCAGTTTCCTATGAATCCTCTTCCAGTGGTTAAGTTAGACACTATTATGTTTTCCTAGTTAATATAAATAAGTGTTATTTTCAGCCTGTTCCTGGCATTCTCTTTTGTTATGGCTCATGTTGAGATTCCCAATCTCACCAGTTTGTTTTTGTCTCCGTTTTTCATCTTGACTGGGTCAGCCTTTGATTTTCCCATTGCGCCATTTATTTTTCACCTTTCCCACTCCATTAATGAGTGTGCTTCTTGATTCTGTCTATTAGTTTGAGGGATGGATAGTTGTTTTGTTTTAGTTTTGTCTTTGTGTTGCATTTTTTAGTTTGTTTTCTGGGTTCATCTCCCCTCCCCCATCATTTCATGAATCATGAAATTTTTATATATTTTTGTAAAAAACGAACTTTATAGCCTTTCAAATTTTTATGTCATGGGGTGTTTTGTAGGTCCCCTTTGAATATGCAGTATCATGATATATGCAGAATTAAGTGATGATAGATGTGTTCTTGTGGTGCATGTGTAAATTGTATTGAATGAATGGATTGTGAATCTGATTGACTAAGATAATGAAGGTCTGCCCCTCCCTACTTCCCCTTGGCCTTCTGCTACAATTCTGTATCATTCAGAATAAATCTCAAATTATATAAAGTAGAGTTGGAGCCTTTTAATCCCAGATTTCATGGGAGAATTGGGCTCTAATTTTGCATTTATTCTTATAGAAGAAGTAAAATAAAATGTATCCAATGTAACAAAATACTCTAATTTTAAAGAGGGTTTTAATTTTCATTAAGTTTAAAGTAGTGATATTTTTTAATCAGAAGGCATGACTTCATTCTTAGAATTAGCTCTCCTTTCAATCAAATCATTTGTCCAAAAGAAAATCATTCTGATTGATGATAACCACTGACTAGGATAAAAACAAAAGAATAAGACTTTTTACATGTTCCTGATAAATTATGTTTTTCTCTGTAGAGACTTTGTTCTTTAATCAGGTGACTTGAGCAAACTTTCTGAAATGGAAAATTAACAAGCCTTTTGTATATAAGCCATTTATGTGTGGTGGTTGGAGAAAATTTGCATTACCTCTCTACAGGGTTCTGTTTCCTTGAGTTTATATTTGTAATTAGGTATTTCTTTATTAAAAGTTTTTTTTTTAATTTAACATTTTAAACTTTAAAATAGTAAACTGAATATATTGAATTAACATTGATCTAACATTAAAAAAGTATATTTTCATTGCAAAAATAAACAATTGTTACAAATAAGCTTTCTCTAATAATAGTTGTAACATACAGCTGCAATGTGTGTTTATGTTGCATTAATTGACTAGGTTTTCTTAGGAACAGGTGGCAGCTTAAGATAGCATTTTCCCATTCTATTCAAACAAACATAAAATTACAAATATGTCACTACACAATCAGTCAAGTGATGTCTGAAACCACACTGACAAGGGGAAATGATCTGATTATTGTGTAATTGAGCCTGCATAACTGCTGAATCCATACCCACACATTAACAGATCTGATAAGGTTACAGCAGATAATAATTATTGATGAATTCCTTTTTATTTTAGATTTAAAAACACTATCATTTGTTAATAGTACTTTAGGTGTGATTATGAACAGAAAGAATTTTGAAAAATTATTTATTGTTTTGTAAGAATACACTACTAAATCCATTATTTTTTCATTGTAATTCTTTTCATTCTGTTCATAAGTAATTGTCAAGTAATTTTTTTATAATTTCATTGCAACTGTTTTACTATTAGCATTTTTGAGGCAAAGTTATTTAGTAACTAAATACATATTTGCAGAGATATGACAAATAGAAACTTTTATGTTCCAACCAGGACCGTTTTAAATGATCTAAACATTCAAGAATATTTCTGTGTGAATTAAAATTTGGTGAATTTGTTATTAGCAGTTTCTGAAGTTTTTACATTAAAATTAATCCAATCTGTTTTCTTTTGTGGAATATCTGGTTGGGCTGCAACCAAGCAAGTCTTTTCTAGAATGATTTCTGAATATTTTCCTTATTTTACAATCCAATATTGATAGATATGTTTAATAGGCTCCATATCAAGAAATGAGGTTCAGATGTATGACACAACGCCCCAACCTCTTTAAAAACTTCTCAGTTCAAGAGAGACTTTA